AGGCTGGGGTAAGAAGAAAATCAAGGATTCGGCGAGTGCTCTAATTGAAGTCGACAAGGGATCCGAGCACGAAGAAAATGGCGACACGCCGCCGGATGTTCCTGAAGCCCCTGAAGCTGTGGATGGCGGCGATTTCTGGGATAATTTGGGCTCTGGTAAGGACAATACCGGAGACAGTCTTATGCCTGATTCTATCGAGGAGCCCAAGAATGATGACGAATGGGGTCTATCTAGCAGCTCAAAGAAAGAGAAGAAGAAAAAGGGTAGTAAAAATGCACCCGTCGAGATCGAGAACGGCTCTCACCTGAATGGTGTTAAACCTGACTCAGTCGAAGAAAGTAAGGGTGATAAGTTTGACGACGATTGGGCCTGGGGAAGTTTGAGTAAAAGCAAGAAAAAGTCTCCGCCTCCAGTACCCACACCGCCCTCGTTAGATATGAACTTGTCCGGCCAAGAACTCGAAGAAAACGTTTGGGGCGACGCAAAAGCCGAGGAGGACGACAACGCTGCAGCAGAAGCAGAAGCAGAAGCAGCAGCAGCCTTAGCAAACGAGATCGCCGCCGAGGAGGAAGAGTTCGCTGCACTCACAGCCAAGAGCAAGAGAAAGAAGAAGTTTACCAAGAATGAACAAAAGAGACTCGACGAACTCACCGAGAAAGCTAAACGCCGCGCCGACGAGAAGGCTGCAAAGGAAGCAGAAGAAGCAGCACAGCGAGAAGCCGAGGAGAAGGCAACTACCGAGGCTCTTGAAGCAGAACAGAGAGCTGAGGTCGAAGCCTTCGAGGCTGAAGAGAAGGCTGCCGCCGAAGCGCGTGAGGCTGAAGAGAAAGCCGCCGCGGAGGAGCTTGCAGCTGAAATCGCCGCAGAGGAAGCCGAACTCGCCCAGTTCAACAAAAAGAAAAAATTAAACAGGACAGATAAAAAGAGAGTTGCCGAACTCACCGAGAGGGCGGAGGCCCGTGCCGCCGAGCAATCGGCCAAAGATGCTGAAGACCAGGTTGGTGTTGATGAAGATCTGGCCGCGCAAGAGGCCGAGGAACAATCAGCCAGGGAAGCAGAGGAGCAGGCAGCTCGAGAGGCCGAAGAACAAGCAGCGGCACGAGAAGCAGAGGAACAAGCTGCTCGCGAAGCCGAGGAGCAAGTTGCTCGTGAAGCCGAAGAGAAAGCTGCTCGTGAAGCCGAAGAAAAAGCTCAGCGCGAACGCGAAGAGGCCGAAGCAGCGGCTAAGAAGAAGTCGAAGAAGAGTTCCAAGTCCGAAGACAAGAAGTCTAAGTCTAGCAGCAAGGATAAGTCATCTAAGAAAGAGAAGGAAAGGGAGAAAGAGAAGGAAAAAGAGAAGGAGAGGGAAAAGGAAAAGGAGTTGATAGTAGAGGAAGAGAATGAAGAGGATCCAGAGCACGAAAAGTCAAAATACCCTGACGATGACCTTGATCTCGACAATATCGACCTGGCTCCTGAACAAATTGACGAGCTCTTATCGGGATTTGCGGCCCCCAAGCCCGCGCCGCCTCCTCCCACACAGTCTAAGCCGGATGCGTTTTCGTTCTGGGGTGCCAAGCCTAAGAGCCCGGCGCCCGAACAGGTAAGCAGTTCCAAGACATCGGGAGCAGCCGAGATTGGCTATGCTGACTCATACAAGGTTCTCGAAGATGCCGCAGCCGAGGACGCGCAAGACGCGCAAGACGCGCCATCCTCTTCCAAAGCTTTCATCGATGATGACTGGATGAAGCCGAAGAAGTCCAAGACTAAGAGCAGTAAACTTGCTGATAAGCTGAAGAAATTCGAGCGCGCAAACGAGGACGACAACGATCTGATTGACGGGCTCGCGGCGCCGCCACCACCGCCACCTGCTCCCGTCGCGCAACCGGCCGAAAGGTCATCCAGAGACTTTTTCCCCGGTGCTTTTCCTGATGACGAGAACGAAATTGTCGAGATCGTTGATATGGCACCGGTAGAGAAGAAAAAGAAGAGCAAGAAGAGTAAGGCTAAAGCTGTGGTAGAGGTACCTCCGCCGCCGCCTGAGGTCCTCATTCCGTCTACACCCCCCGAAGTACCTATACCTCCTCCGGCCGCTCCCGAGTCACCGCCGACACCACCTCCGGAGGTCAAATCCTCCAAGAAGGAACGACCGAAGGTTAGTCGCGATGTAAGTGCATCGTGGGGAGCATGGGGGGCTACACCTCGCAAAGAGGAAAAGAAATCCAAGCCAAAGTCCGAGGAGAAGAAAACCCGCAAAGAGAGGGAGGAGAAGCCATCGTCATCTAAGGGCTCAACATCAGATAGAGACAGGACTGAGGAGCGTGAGAACCGAGAGAAGAAATCAACTCCTCCCAAGCAGCGCAAGAACAGTTTGTTCCAGAGCACCCCGCCTGTTTCGCGATCCATGTCCACCCGCGAGAAGCGGCATGGTGCGAGCAAGCCAAGCTCACGACGCCATTCTGTAGAGATGTCGGGTGGCCTAGTATCGCCACCGCCTGAAGAAATACCGGCTATGTCTTCTAAGGCCGCGAAGGTTCTCGGTGTTGATAAGAGTCGCAGTCGTAGGAGCTCTGCAGCGCCTGCTTACGACGATGAAGATATTGTCATGGTCGGAGGGGCTGGCGACGTTTTTTCGAGTCCCCAGAAATCGTCTCGTAAGAGATCAAAGGTAAGCGTGCACCTCCACATATATGTGCCAGTATCGCTGACCTAGAACAGGCCAAGACCGAAGACGATATTGTCATGGTCGATACGGAGATGCCTGCCGATGCGACACCCCTCAAGCGATCGAACTCGAGTGCCAAGAAAGGGTTTTCTGGTCTCTTTGGAGGGCTTATGTCTTCGACTCCGACCCCACGCTCTGAAATGCGCACCGAGATGCGCACCGAGATGCGTCCCGAAATGCGTCCCGAAATGCGCCCCGAACCACGACGTCGCAACACGTATTACACAACGGAAGAGGAGTCCAGACCTGATAAACGGGCTAGACGCTCTTCGCGGGACCCTCGCGACATCGATACGGAAGCTATAGACGAGGAGAGGGAGGCCCGTCGCGCCGCCCGACGTGCAAGAAAGGCGGAAGAGAAGGCAGCCGAAGAGGCGCGCCTTGCGAAAGAAGACGCTCGTCGCGAGCGCCGTAGGAGACATGAGGAAGAGGAGGAGGTACGCGAAGAGGCGCGCAGACAGGCTGACCGCGAGGCCCGGCGCGCAGAACGTCGGGCTGCGCGCGAGCGAGAGGCGGAGCGCATTGCTGCTGAAACGAAGGAGGCAGAAAAGGCGGAACGACGCCGGCTCCGCAGACTCGAAAAGGAAGCTGCTGCCGCCGCGGAAGCGGAAGCGGAAGCTCGACGTGCCGCCCGGGCCGACCGACGACGTTCTCGTTACGCCGAAGTCGAGGAGGACGAGGAGCAACGCAGGCGCAGGAGACACGAAGCGAAACGTGCCGAGGAAAAGGCGAACCGGAGACGTTCGATGCCGGTTGATGAGTATGTCTATCCCCAGGAACGGACCTCGCGACCTGCGGTATACGAGCACAAGCGAAGCAAGACCGCCACGGCCTGGCCCCACTCCGGTACGGATTCCTGGGTGAAGGAGCACTCAGACGCCGGGCCGCCTCCCGAAGACGGCCCCTCCACCGACGCCCCACCACCGGAGGACGACGAGGAGGCTCGCCGCGCCGCGCGTCGGGCAGCTCGTCATCGCGCCAAGTACGGCGATGCCCCCGAACCCGAGGATAACGACAGACGCCGCCGTCGTGCACGTCGCGAGGAGCGAGAACGACGCGAGGAGCGGGATCGACGAGAAGAACGGGATCGACGAGAAGAACGGGATCGACGAGAAGAACGGGACCGCAGAGAGCGTCGGCCGGGCGGCTCGGACGGTAGCGGCGGTGCTAGCGCGCAGCGCGAATCCGGACCTCGCGAGTCCTTCTTCGCGGAATCGACGCCTCGAAGCAGCTGGTGGAGCAAGTTCACCGGCGGGTCAAGATTTTAGACCTTCACTTTTTGGGGGGGGTTCTGCCCATTAGGCCGATGTATGGAGTATATTGTGTACGTCTTTGGAGGGGTATGTTTCCGAGCAGACTCGTATGTTTTATACCGTGCTTTTTGGACCGGCGTGTGTACGCTTTCTATATTCCCTACCCCCCTTTGGACAACCCCAAGCGGCCATGTCGGAGGGGTCACAGGTGCAAGTCTCGTTGCATTGGCTCGGCATGCATAACATACTTTGTTGGTTCCTGTCTTGCAGCTGTGTGCCATTGACGTGGCAAGGCTGCGCGGGATGTGGGAAGCAGGCGATGATGGAGAGGGGAGACAGGCTTGCGGGATTGGATGAGCTGGGTCCCATCCGATGCATTGAAATTGACAGCCCGATGGAAAACGCTTAGCCGATTGGATGAAGATTATGTGATATATCATGTTGTAGTTTTGGGGGTTACTCTTTCTTGCTCGGTGTTGGCATTGTTCTTGATTCGAGCACGGCTCGGTTGCATTGGTCGATTATTATACCCCCCCACACACTCTTACATACAAATAACTTATCAGGTGCTTATTAGTAGGTAGTTATCATGGAGCTCCAAGGTAGCATGGCATCATTCATTAGGAAGTAGAATAAAGAGAGTATTTATTGTTACTGGTTTCTTTTTTACTCTCGTGCCTGTGTCTTGTCTCGCTCGTATGTGGAGGACAGATTGCTGTTTGCCCGTATGCACCCGTGATGTGTTGAACCCCTTAAGCTTAAGCAGGTAGCCGTAACTGGGAGACTGTCTCGTGTCGTTCTAGGAGATGACCAGGTATCTACCAATATGTGTCCATGACATGGCTAGGAGTAGACAGGTGGGCTAGGCGTATATAATACAGCGTTTGCTCCCCTGCTGAGGTGGCTTCTGCAAACGCACCTGCCGCCTCCCCTCCCTTCCCTTCCCTTCCTCTGGTACTGACACGCAAAAGAAAGGCTTATAGATCAATGTTAGCAGTCAAATTGTACAGAGGACCTAGATATGTCCAAAGTTCCAGTTCCAGGCACCCGTGGAGCAGTAGTATAGCTCATTCCCCTCCCATGCCGTGGCGTGGCGTAGCTGGGTAAGGGGAAGACCCGGGTGCAAATCCCGGTGGGTGCAGACATTTTTGAACTCTGAAGGTCAGCTGTTCGTGCCGTGTCCAGACACTATTTTTTCTTCTTCTCTTTTTACTCTTTTCATTCGTCTTTGCCCTTCATTTACGACCCTCTTCCCCCTTTTTTTCATGCCTGGCTGAATGTTTCTTTCATTACTTCCCCTCCGATCAATCCTCACGGACTAGGAGACTACTAGAACTCGGGGTCGGTGTATTGGTCTCCCTCCCTGCAGCAGTCGAACGCGATTGGTAATTTACGGGTCGTATCGAAGTCACGAAGATAGAAGGGATGAAAATCCACATGTAAAATCAAGTGAGGTCATGTTATTGAAAAGACTCGATCACCCTTCTCTACCCTACTGTGGGTATGTCAGGACGGTCTGTGCCTCTTGCTACCTGCTACCTACTAGAGGTATATCTGCTTTTAGGATGCCTAACTCTATCGTATTAGGTAATGCCAGCCACCCAGCTTGAAAGCTGCTTGTAAACCGCCATCTGTGCCCATGTCAACAGCCACGGATGAACTCGGTTAGAAAATAAAGATAATAAAACGAGGGAATCAGCCCTTCCTCCCATGTTTATATCCCAACGATGCCCATTTCCCAAGAGGAACGCCGACTCGTAGCGTTTGCTATGTGCTATTCAACAGCACCCGAGGCTGAGTATGCCAGTTGTAAAAGAAAGATAAAACCCGATCAATGCCACCATCATGCATAACCATCGTCATGAGGCTTCTCTCATGTCCAAAAGACCGCACTTTTTCGGGAGGTACTCCAATAAAACACCACGTAGCAAGTAGGGCTACTCGTGAGCACCCAATGGCAAGTACAGAGAGAAGGAGGCTTTCCCGTCCTCTAGGACCCCATTGGTGACTTGCAAGACGCCGCTGCCCACATTTCAGTCAGTCAACCGCCCACCCACCAACCGCAGCTTTAAACAAAAAACAACTTCGCCTCCCGGGAGGAATCGTAAGAGAGATCTTCGTGACACATTACAAGTGTGGATATTTATATAGGGGGACGCCGTTTGCTGTCCTCGAGTAAGCGTGTATGGAAGGTGATTAAAAATACGAATCAGAGAATTCTAGGTGAATATACTATATCGACGTCAAGTGCGTAGGGGATCGAGGGCCGAAGTGTGTTTAGCCGCTACTGTCTTCATCGTCTTCATCGTCAGTAGTAGCGAGGTCGCCGTATTTAGCCTTGTATCTCTCGAGCTCGGCCAACTGGACGGCAAGGTTATCGAGGACAACAGACATCGGCGTCCGGAGATCATCTAGTGACATGATTTGACCGCCGCCCATGGCGATATGCCGCATGGAAAGCGTGGATATGCAAGTCTGTCATATGTTTAGCAAACGCAATCAAAATACACTCTGATATAGATAGCCTTACCTCTATGCGGCTTACTTGGTGCTCCATGAAGTTAAATAGGAACCGTTCCGTAACTTCGCCGCCACGCTGCTTCATACGCTCTAGGAGCTCGGTTTCGGGAGGCTGCAAGCCTCTACCAGACATCTCTTCCAGAGAACTGCAGAGCATCTCCAGGCGCAGACTGACTTTCCAAAGAGACCAGATGATCTCCGGATCGAACCCCAGGTTGCTCCCGCCTTGGAGGGTCGCAGGCTTCTCGGCAATTTCGGCTGTCGCAGCGGAATTGTTATGATGCTCGATGCGGCCAGCAAGAACATGCGGGTAGAGGGAGTAGATATACTCAGGGTTCTCAAGGCCTTTGAGTTTCTTCTCGCCCATTTCCTTGACTTCAAATCCTTGTGAGCTGAGCGATTTCAGTTCTCTCCTAATCGCCGATGATCCTACATCGTCGTCGAACGTATCGTCAGATCCCGTGGACCCGGTCCGTTCGTTTTCTTGGTACGTCTCTAGGCAACGTTGGATTTCCGATATGAAATCTGCAGACACGGTGATTTGGCCTCCGTCCGCGACTGAGGAAATACGAGATGCCTTATTCACCATCGGTCCGAAGTAATCCATGCGACGCGTCACCGGATCGATTTCGGCTACCGGCTCGCCGAAATGAATGCCCATTCTGACTGACAAGCCTCTGAAGATGAGGTTGTGGTCTTTGTCAAACACTTCTTGACAAGATACCGAATTGAGAATTTCTGGCGGCCAGTCTATACTGAGCAGTTGTGTCTGAACGGCGAAGCACCATAACAGCGCCGAGGTGGCGGTGGGGAAGGAGACCATAAAAGCATCGCCTTCCGTCTTGACTTCATAGCCACCGATTCTTCGAAGCTGCCGCCGCATAACCTCGTTATGAAGCTTTATTGCTGACCTCATGGCGGAGGGATACATCTCCCACAGGTTGGTTGAGTTCTTGATATCGGTGAAAACGATAGAAGGCTTGTCAATAGGAGCAGGGACTTCGGCTTCCAGTCTGTGTAGTGTGGAGTCTTGCACCTCGCCTTTGGCTTTCCTGCCTCGCTTGGTCGGATACTGGAATTCATCCGGAACGCCTGAAGGATACAACGACATGCTCTGGCCCCTATGCAAACGAGCGGACCGTTCCTGGCGGCGTTTAAGGTCGGCGACGCTGATCATCATGATCATTATTTTCCCAGTTGCGCCGTAGGCTATTGCCAAGTCGCGCAGCTTATGCGCTGCACGCATGAGGTCACCTCGTTCTGACCGCGTAACGTCAACTACCAGACCCGGTGTCAAATACTGCCACAGCTCCTTCGTTGCTATCAAGATCGTTTCATCCTGGGGTGTAATGGAGATTTGAGAAATATTCGGAGCTGCCTGCACAGCCGGCATCAAATCAACGTAGCCGAAAGCACGAGAGACTTCGAGCAAATCGTTCAACTTGCCCTGGCGTGATACCCAGCCTCCGGCGTCGCGTATTCGCTGACGTTCGCTTGGCTCAGCAGGGTCGTGCTTGCGGGTGAGAATCTTATGTGTGCCATCGGATTGGATGATCATAGCTTGCGCGTCGCCGACGTTGGCAACATATAGCTCCTGGGCTTGAAGGTATGCGACCGTGGCTACTCCCCCAGAGTTGAGGTCTTCCTTACTTAATACCACAGGGGCTGATGAACCACGATGGGTCATTAATGGTCTCTTCTCGGTATGCTCAATGGCTACCGTGACGAGGTCCTTGTTAAGCGCAAGGAAGGCACGCCTAAGCGCATCGATGGGCGTCTCGTGTTGACGCGTTTTGAGAGCCTTCAGTTCCATTGTGAAAATGTGGCCGAAATTCTCATGAAGATATTTGGCTATCTTAGAGCCACCACTAGATAGAGCTTGGCCGTCGAACAAGCCTAAAAGGGTCTCTGAATCAGACGAGTTAAACCTCGGGACGACTAGATCAATGGTAGACAAGTGTTCGTTCCTGCCTAGCGTATCGGCCATACCATATGGTAGGTGACCAGCTAGTGAGCCCGAAGTTCTGACACGGCGATCTTCGCTCTGATCTGGGATACTTGGCTGGGTAAGGGTGACATCCATCAATCCAAGCACGCGAAGATTCAACAGCCGACTGAAATCCGTATACTGCTCGCGATTCTGCGATCCCGGACCCAGGTTTGACTGCTTGATTTCTAGTCGTTTGTTTCCAGACAAATTGAGAAAGCGCAAATTGGGATTCAAATTCCAATTCCAATCGTATGGCACGTTTGATATATTGTATTTGAGGGAATTGTTTCCGCAATCCAAGACGGCCAACTTCTTTGCTCGTGAGATATCTGCCGGGAGGTTCGTAAATTTGTTGCTATTTATGTGAAGCACCTGAATCAAGCTATACTCCTCCAGATCATCAACCGGCAAACTGGTCAAATCGTTGCCCGACAAATAAAGCTCGACAAGTTGAGGCCAATTCTTGATGCAGCGCTGTGGCATATCGCTCAAGTCGTTATATGACAAATTGAGAATGCGCAATTCTGTCAAAAGTGTGATTTGATCAAACACATCGTCGTCAAGCTGATTGTCGGCAAGGTATAAATTTCTTAGTGAACCAGCAAACGTGTTCGTCAATCGATTGGAAAGCCCAGAGTCTTTTCTTGACGATGCGGAAGGGGTCATAACCCCATTAGCACTACTGGCGGTTGTGCTTCGCGAAACTACCGAAGTCTTGCGTCCTCCCTTTCCATAGACAGACACCACCGAGCTTTTTCGGTCTGGGCCGGAAGGGACAGGAGAAGGCCCAACGCTAAGCAGCGTGCTAGAAGCTTGACTAGGTCGACGTGACCCGTCGGGCATAAGTTCTTCGGAGCTGGACGTTTGCGACAGCGGTCCAGTTTGCGGTTTATTCATGGGAGTGGGTGGGCCTGATGACTCCCCAGGCATCTGAGGTGGACGTGAAGCGGGCTTTGGGAAATTATCGAGCACATTCGACGAGGCATTGAGGGTTTCCAATCTATTTGCCCACCATAAGTCCATCGGCAATTTCCTAATGTTGTTCCCTCTGACATCCAAAACTCTCAATTCGTTCAGACAGCCTATTTCCGGAGGTAATTCGCCGACCGAGTTGTGGGCTATGCTGAAATGCTCGAGCCTCCTCAAGTTACCAATGGTATTGGGAAGAGACACGAAGTAGTTCCGATCTAACACAAGCCTTTCGAGATTAACTAAGTTATTGAACGAGCCATCGATGCTGGCGAGCTGAGCACTCGATAGATTAAGCATCTTGAGAGTCGGTACAGGGCTCGTAATTTCGAACTTGGTGATGGGATTGGAATTCAACTTCAAACTGCGAACTCGCTCGAAGCTGCCGACGAATTGGGATATCATGTTGTGATCAGCAGACAATATTTCCAACTTGGGAAGTTCGGATACAATGTCAATCGCAGTAAGGGTATTGAACTTGATGTCTAGCTCGCGGAGGTTTATAAGATCCTTCAGTGTAGGCGGTAACGATCCCGCAAGTCTGTTGTTAGTCATGACGAACTTTTCGAGATTTTGCAGCCTTCCAATCTCATCAGGGAGACTTGCAATCGAGTTGAAACTAACGTCAATGTCTACCAGGCTTTCCAGATCACACAGGAAAA